AAAGCAACACACGCAGCCGGACAAAGGTGTGGAGTGAGATTTTCTAGATGCCGGACCAAGGATTTAGAAATACATAACTTATCACTTTGCATGCAAGAAACTAGGAAAGAATTGTTATAGTTAGAATTATCAAGTTATGAACCCGTGGGGAACACGTAAACCCTAGTGACTTTGATTAATTGATTAAAACCCAAAATTAAAAGCTGTTAAGTGTCTCTTTCAAGTTCGTTGTTTATTTTCACTTATTTAGAGATAGAACCCCCCTTTTTATGCTTTTACTTTCTAAGGAAGTCATCAACCGAACAATAGTAATAACAAGTTGAAGTTAAGTCTAGACTATTTTCCTCGTGGGAACGATCCCAACCTCACTAGTTGGGTTATTTACTTGACGCGACCGTTTTACTTCTCATTTGAGAATTAAGTTTGAGCGTATCACATATACAATTTGAATTTATATAAAACGAGAAAGAGAGAAAAGCAAAAGGAGACTTGTGCAGGGAATATACAATTGAATCAAATTGTATGAAACGAGAAAGAGAAAAATTATATACAATTTGAATTTGTATAAAACGAGAAAGTTAAAAGAGACTTGGGAATGGAAATATTTGTATTGTATAATAATAAGTGTATAGAATGAAGATATATGTATTTGCATGCGTTTATAGAATTTTCTCTCGCTTTATACAATTTGAAACACAATTTATACAATTCTATTGTATAAAACGAGAGAGACGAGCGACAGGAAGCGAGCGAAAGAGGGAGAGTGGCAAAGCGAGAATATGAGGGAGAGAGGGATTGTCAAACAATTTGCTATGGAACACAATAAATCAAAGGGTAGCTACGTTATTTATTTTATATTATAAGTTTGTCATTTTATACAATTATCCCAGGTTCTTTCGCATATAACCACTTAAAAATAATTAATTACTCTCCATAGCTATAGTTTGATAATTACGATTCGTAGCTACATGTTATATGGAGGAGAGAGGCGAGTGAGGCTGGGAGAGAGAGGAGAGGGCGAGAGAAAGAGAGGGGAAAGAGTGGGAGAAAGGTGAATTATATATGTATATTTGTTAGATAAATGTATATTATACACATGTATTTGTATATATGGAAAAAGAGATTGGGAGAGGGAGGAGAGATGTGAGCGAGATCGGGATGGAGGAGAGAGGCAAGCGAAATCAAGAGAGGGAGGAGAGAGGCGAGTGAGAGAGGGTAGAGAATGTGAAAGAGGTGAATTGCATATGTATATTATTGTATATTATACATATGCATTTGTATATATGACAAGCGAGATTGAGATCAAGAGGAGAGAGGCAAACGAGATTCAGAGAGGGAGGAGAGAGGCAAGCAAGAGAGGGGAGACACGTGAACTGTATATGTTTATAAGTTAAATAATTGTATATTATACATATGTATTTGTATATGCTAGCGAATTATACATATACAAACGTGACTATTTATACAAACTCGAAGTCAGCCCACATAATTCATGTATAATTCAGTGGCGCGTGGTAATTATATCAAACTATATCTATGATGAGTAATTAAACATTACAAGTTTGCTTAGCTGCGTAATTTTCCCTTGTTGGAAACACTAATACCCAGAAGCCTTAAGCATTTTGATATGGTTCGATATGATTTTTAGTTTCATATAAAAAATCATACAATATTGAGGCCGTGCTGGCACGGGCCACGCTCATGTAGTAAATACATATATATATATATATATATATATATATATATACTAGATGGGCGTGTGGGAGGATAAGTATGTTGCTGAATTTTTCTTTCTCCGTTTCTCTACGTGTATTTTTGTGTAGGTGATTTTTTTTTCTGATCTTTGGTTTTTTTGGTGCTGCCGTGTGTTTTTCTTTTGTTGTATTGCTTATGTTCCTCCTTCCTTTTCTGTGTTTGCTCTGTGTGTATATTAATGTGTGTGTGTTGTTTCTTTTCCTGTGTGTGAGTGTGAATATGTATCTGTGTCGTGTGTATGTATAAAAATGGTGGGGTGTGTTTATTCTTATTGTGTGGGGGGGTTTAGTGGGGTGAGTGAGGTAGTGGAATGGGTATAGGTGGGTTGGCGTAGTACGGATAGTTTAGATTAGTTTTTATTTATAATATAATATAATATAAGAAATATTTTTAAACTAACAAAAATTAAGTAGCTAATAATAAATTATAATTAAGAAATACTAGCTTATTTATCAAATTAAAATTAAACTAAAATATACGTTTTTGTAGTTTTGAATATTTTAAAATAAAATTACTAAATATGATGAAAAAAACATATATTTAATTTAGACTTAGAATAAATATTTAAGGAATAAAAATAGTGTAATACCTTGAGTTTGGTAAAAAATTATGTGTCTACAGTTTACCCCTCTTTGACTGCAAACATAAAGTGCTTGCAGACTAAGTGACAAGTTTTTGACAGGAATTTTATTTGAAAGTAAAAGAATGTGATTGAGTCCTTGTTTTCTACAACTTACATATCCCAGGTTATTAAAAAAATCAGATCATGTGTATTTTAAGGAGATTAGGTGATGAGTTGAAAGTTGAGTGAGGTTCCATCGAGATTAGGTGATGAGTTCAAGGAGATTACTCCTATCCTTACAAAAAGAAAAAAATGAAATCTAATAGTCAAAAGAAAAATAAAAGTACAAGCTCCTATATATGCAGCTTCCCGTGAATCTTCACTTGAGTGTTTACTTTCACATATCACCTTGACTTTTGAGTGAGTATTTTGAACTGGCTTTGAGGCTTAACTTGCCACTTAGGGTGAGCTTTTGACACTTGTCAAAATAAAAATTTGAAAATGATCGTGAATGTCTGCATGTTTTCTAGATCAGAAGCTGAATAGAAAAAAATGTAAGAAGGTCAGACTGCTACATGCTTTCAAAAAGCTGATTCCGCCTATTATGAGATTGTTCATTTACAAAAGAGTTGAAACTTTATTCTTGAATTTCAAATCTATGTTTCTCTTGAATAAACCTGAAATCCATCACAAACAAAAGAAATAAACAAACATTTTGCCCTAGTTTGTAGTGGAAATTTTTGTGAGTTATTGGCTAATGTAAATAAATATAAATACCAGGAAGTGTGATAAAGTAATCAAATCTCATGATGTAGGAAGGTTCTACGAATCCCATTGTCCAGAAGGTTCTCCTAATATATATCTCATTTTTTATGAGGTTCCTTGCAACACTACGTCCCATTATTCATAAGGGTCCTTGCGACACTACTCCCATTGTTCAGGAGGGTCCTTGCTACACTACGTCCCATTGTTCAGGAGGGTCCTTGCTATAATACGTCCCGTTGTATAGGAGGTTCCTCTCTATACTACGTCTCATTGTTTAATAGGTCCTTGTGGAACTACGTCCCATTATTAATGAGGGTCCTTGTTGTACATCCCATTGTTCAGGAGTGTTCTTGTTATACTTGTCCCATTTTCCAGGAGGACCCTTGCTATACTACATGTCATTGTTCAAGAGGGTCCTTTCTATACTACGGCTCATTGTTCAGAAGGGTCCTTACTATACGAAGTCCCATTGTTCAGGAGGGTCCTTTCTATACTACATCCTCTTGTTCAGGAGGGTCCTTGCTATACAACGTCCCATTGTTCGTGAGGGTCTTTGCGATACTACGTCCCATTATTCATGAGGGTCCTTGCGATATTACGTCTCATTGTTCAGGAGGTCCGTGCTATACTACATCTCATTGGTTAAGAGGTTCCTTCTGTACTACGTATAACATCCCGTAACTCAAAATATCTAAGAATACGCTATGAAACTAAAATAATCACTTTTGGAAAGAAAGGGAAAAATATAGAAAATTTCTAAGTTACAAAAGTGAGTTTTGGTGTTTTTCGAACAGCCATAACTCTTATCTCAGGATGAATTAGAGGTAGTTCATGATAATTTTTGAACACCCTTTGAGAGTCTTTCCAACACCACAGGGCTCGTGAATTTTCGATATAGTATGACAGAGATATTCCTGTCGAAAGTGGGAGGTTTTGATTGAGGAGGTCCCAATTTTAATTTAAGGAAGGGAAAACTAGTCTTTTCACCAATTAATTTTCTAGTTGTTTTTAGAGATTTCTTTGGGGTAAAAAGACGTTTTAGTTCAGACTAGAAATTTAACTTTACGTTTAAGGCTTGGGGAAGAGAGAGGAAAAGAAGGAAAGGGAGAAAAGTCAAGAATTCGCTAAGAACGCCAAGGATTTGCGTGTGGAATTCGTGGGGGTGATCCCTATCAAGCGATGTGAGATCTTTTTTGTTCGGTTAATTCATCCGCACATCAATTTGTTTCAATTTAGTGGTCTTAGGATTATTTACATGTTAAGAAGTGAGTTCGTGACGAATCTTCTCGAATTCCTGTTGGTTGAGTTGTTTGAATGCCCATTGTTGTTTGATTCATAAGTTCCAACTTATTTTTCGAATTAGATATATTGGGTATTGAAAGTATTAATGATCCTAAGGGTTTGGGAAACGAACTATGGAGGTTTAGTGTTGAAACATAAAGAGAAGAAGTTCGTCATCCACACCTCGGAAGAACCAGGCGCGGCACGCCCCATTTGTGCTTGAAGGCCTTAGCGAGACTCCTGGATGAGGCCTGGTGCGGCGCGCCTCGGATGCGCTTGAATCGGTGTTTTTCACATAGTTTTCGTACTTTAGTCCTTCTAAGATATATTAACACTCTCATGTGATTCTAATTACTTCAAATAATTTCTAAACATATAGGAATCACCAAAACATGAATCCTAACTTTAAATTCATAATTCCATTCAAGAAAAGTTAAGATCAACGTCAGAGCTATTGAGAGTCAAGTATAGAGTTAAGAAGCAAGTCCAAAGCAAAGTTCTTAAAGGTTTTCAAGAGTTTTTAATAATTTTTTTAACTTTATTTTAAAACTGAAGTTTCTAGTTAAGCAAAAAGTACAGAGTTGAAGTCTTTCCTTCAAAGAAATATGACGGAACTAAGTATTCTCTAAGATTTGATTTAGGATTAAAGTTTCAATTTAAGCAAAGAGTAAATATTTTATTTTATTTTTTAAAAGTTATAAGGGAACTAATTATTCCCTAAAGGTTTATAAATGTTTTTCCAAAAGAATTTTGAACAGGAAAAAGGGAACATTGATTCCAAGAGAGCTTTTTGATGCGAAGTGTTGAAATATTATGTCAACCCAAATGTCACACCCCTTTTCTGCGCGGCGGCGTAAGGGTTTTTCCAGTTTAAGTGACGTTATTAATTAGGGGATTATTTTAATATTTTCAGAGTCGCCACTTGAAATTGAATTACGGTGTTCCAAGTCACCTTTTTTTTGTTTAATCCCAAATCAAAAGGAAATGACTCTTTATTTGGTCTGGGAACCAGTTCGGGTAAGGAATTCTATTGACCGAGGGGAAGGTATTAGGCATCCCTCGAGTCCCGTTGTTCTAGCACGGTCACTTTATGGACTTTTATGACTTAAACTAATTTTTGAATATTATATTATTAATACAAATGTATTTACCCTCATTCTTTGATTTATATTAACATATTTAAAGCTACACTATTTTATAAACATGTGAAGTTTTTACACATTTTTATTAATTGTTTATTTATTTTTCATTCTTTTAACATTTGTCTGCTTCTTAATTTCTCTCTTTTATTTATTTTTATACTAATCTTTCACGTTTTTTTCTTTTTTAACTTTCATTATAATTTTGTACCGCGGCTCTTATCCTTACATAAAAATTGAAAACTATTAGTCACAAGAAAAACAAATGTACAAACTTCTATCCACGCAGCTTTTCTTGAATCTTCACTTGAATTTTGACTTTAAGATATCACCTTGATTTTTGAGTGAATATCTTAACTTAGAATTGGAATGGAGGCTGAACTTGCCACTTAGACGGAACTTTTGACATTCTTCAAAATGATAACTTGAAAAATGCTCTTGAATAGATGTATGTTTTCTTGATCAAAAGTTGACTAGTAAAAGATGTGTGGAAGTCAAGCTGCTACATGCATTGTAGAAGCTAATTCTTACCATCATGGAATTGATTATTCTAACAAATTTGCAACTTTGTTTTTGAATTTCAAATCCAGGTCTCGCTTGAGAAAACCTGAAAACCACCACAAACAAAAAAAAAGAGAAATAAATAAATAAAATTTTTTCCCCAGTTTTCATTGGAAATTTTTTTGTGAATTATTAGCAAATATAAATATAAAACATAAACTTCGGATAGGAAGTGTTTATTTCAGAAGAAAATAAAACTAAAAATCTAGACTAGGAAGTATTAATCCTATGAAAAAGTAATCTAGTCCCATTATCCAGGGGTCCTGCTAGTCCCATTATCCAGGAGGGTCCTGCTAGTCCCATTATTCAGGAGGGTCCTTCTAGTCCCATTATCCAGGAGGGTCCTGCTAGTCCCATTATCCAGGAGGGTCCTGCTAATCCCATTATCCGGGAGGGTCCTGCTAGTCCCATTATCCGGGAGGGTCCTGCTAGTCCCATTATCCGGGAGGGTCCTGCTAGTCCCATTATCCGGGAGGGTCCTGCTAGTCCCATTATCCAGGAAGGTCCTGCTAGTCCCATTATCCAGGAGGGTCCTCCTAGTCCCATTATCCAGGAGGGTCCTCCTAATACCACTATCGAGGAGGGTCCTACTAGTCCCATTATCCAGGAGGGTCCTGCTAGTCCCATTATCCAGGAGGGTCTTGCTAATCCCATTATTCAGGAGGGTCCTGCTAATAAAATTTTCAACAAATTAATAATAACAACGAAGCATTGTGGATGCTATCTTCATTATTTGGAAGTTCCTTCAAGGAGAATAATAATAATAATAATAATAATAATAAATAAAATAAATATTCCAACATTCAAGTAATTGCTATTTTGATATATATTAGCCAACTTTCATATAATATTCCACAAGCCTTTATTGTAGAGGTTCCATTTCGCTCGCTGCAGACTAAGTTGAACATCTAGGTTCCTCGAATCCTCAATCTTGAAAAAACTTGTGTCCCTGCTTCAACCAAGAAAATTTGTGAGTTTTAAAAGGTGGTGGTTGGTTTGTGGTTCCATCTTTCGACAAGGGCGGCTCAAACACTTATGACGCTTTGGTTGTTTCCAACGGTCAATACTTCTTATTGATTGATTGTACTTTCATCCAAATTTGCTTATTTTGGGACCTAAATCCAATGTCTTCATCTCACAACACTCATTGTTTAGCCTTCATAGGATCAGAGAATTTTTGAATTCAACACATGAAGACAAATTAACTTAGTAGCCTGATGCTTTGCCTAGTACTGTTTAGAGACTTAGTAGCGAGTCTTGAAATTCTTTCCTAGTTTTTTTTTGACAAAGACTCGACTCAAATACATACCAAAAAATTGAAGAAAAAAAGTATAAGAAAATTACGAACTATATGAGAATAAAAGAAAAGACTCGATGAAGATTCTTTTTTTTGGTAAGAAGAAGAAAGAAAAACTTATCTGAGTGTGGGAGCCGAGTCTACTGATCATGCCATGCAATTTGAATTGATTTCCAGACTTGGCTACCCAATCTATTCATCAACCATTATTGATTATTCAATCTTGATGTGGAATGCCAATACTTAATGAAGCCATAAATAATCTGAACCGTTATAGACTTTGTGATATTCACGAAGGTCTTTGCCTCTAAAACTCAATCATGTTAATTGCTCCAGCTCACGTCTGCCTTATGGTGCATGTCAGAATTTTCACCAATAAGACTCTCTTATATTCAACTCCTTTTCGCCTTACGGTGCCCACTTAGGGTTTTCACCAATAAGACTCTCTCATTTTTATTTCTTTTTACTCACATTTATCTTATGGTGCTCATTCAGGATTTTTACCTACCCTTAACAAACTTATTCTCTAAATATCAAGGGTTGATGCAAAGACTTTTTTTTAGATGATAGGGTTGATTTTGAGGTTTGAGATGAGAGACCAAATGAATAAACAAATGACTTTTGCCCCACTATACTACAATATGAATTTTTGGATTTGTATTTGGTTGAACCGAACCCAATATTAGGGCTGCCTACGTATCTTGCCAAAACAAGAATCAGGTCAAACGTAGTTCAGGCAATTTGTGTTTTTTTTAATAAGTCAAGGAAACAACATAACCAAGAGATTCCATTGAATCAACTGTCGAGCCCAAACATAAGGGTTTCTAATGTCAAAACTCAAATCATATGTAATATCTTTTCACAGCATCAGCATTGACAATCGTTTCTGTCACTTTGCCTTCTATATCTGCTAAGTGAAGAGTACCATTGGGTAATACCCTTTTAACAACGAATGGTCCTCTCCAATTAGGAGAAAATTTGCCTTTGGTTTCGGCATGATGTGGCAAAATACCTCTCAACACTAATTGACCCTCTTCAAAATGTCTGGGACGTACCTTTTTGTTGTATGCCCGTGCCATTCTTTTCTGATATAATTGTCCATGACATACTGATGTCAGACGCTTGTGATCAATCAAACTTAATTGCTATAGCCGAGTTTTGATTAACTCATCATCATCAATTTTAGCCTCCACAACGATTCGTAAAGATGGATCTCAATCTCTGCAGGTATAACTGCCTAAGTCCCGTATACCAGTGAATATGGAGTAGCGCCCACTGACGTACGGACTGTAGTGCGATAACCCAACAAAGCAAAAGACAACTTTTCATGCCATTGTCGAGAACTTTGCACCATCTTACGAAGTATCTTTTTTATATTTTTGTTAGCAGCTTCTACAGCCCCATTTTCCTTTTGGCTATACGGAGTCGAATTTCGATGCTCAATCTTAAATTGGTAGCATACCTCTTGCATTAAGTGGCTGTTGAGATTTGCGGTGTTATCAGTTATAATCACCGTTGGAATACCAAATCGACAAATGATGTTGAAATTGATGAAATCCACCACGACCTTCTTCGTCACTGACTTTAAAGTTACTGCTTCCACCCACTTTGTAGAATAATCAATAGCCACAAAGATGAACCTGTGACCATTCGATGCTTTTGGTTCTATCGGTCCAATCACATCCATTCCCCATGCCACGAAAGGCCATGGAGCGGACATTGCATGCAACTCAAAAGGGGGAGAATGTATCAAATCACCATGTATTTGACATTCATGACATTTATGAACAAATCGTATGGAATCCCCCTCCATGGTGAGCCAATAATATCCTACTCGAAGTATCTTCTTAGCTAGAACATATCCATTCATATGGGGTCCACAAACTCCTAAGTGTACTTCAATTATGATTGTGGAAGCCTCTTGAGCATTTACACACCTTAGAAGACCTAAATCGGGTGTCTTCTTGTACAGTATGCCTCCTCTTAAGAAAAAACCCCTTGCTAGTCGTCGAATAGTCCTTTTTTTATTACTAGTTACATCTGACGAACATTCTCAAGACTGAAGATAAGTTTTGATATCATGAAACCAAGGCTTACCATCAAATTCCTCCTCAATCATGTTGCAATAGGCATGTTGATCACGAATTTGTATGTATAGAGGGTCGATATGGGCGTCATCAGGGTGTTGGAGCATCGAAGATAAAGTGGCCAATGCATCTGCAGTCTCATTGTGCATTATGGGAATGTGTCTAAACTTTATCGACACGAATCGTTGACAAAGACCTTGTAAACAATGTTTATATGGTATGAGCTTTGGGTCTCGAGTTTCCCATTCTCCTTGAATTTGATGAAATAGTGAGTCTGAGTCTTCTAACAATAATAATTCTTGGATGCCCATGTCAACAACTAACCTCAGACCCAAAATGCACACTTCGTACTCAGACATATTATTAGTACAATAGAATCTTAGTTGGTCTGATATAGGGTAATATTCCCCTTATTCAGACATAAGAACAACTCCTATTCCAACTCCATTCCTTTTAGAGGCCCAATAAAAGAATAACTTCCAACCTTGATCGTTATCGTGAATTAATTCATCGATACAAGATATCTCTTAATCTGGAAAATAGGTTTTAAGTGTTTCATATTCTTCATCAACATGGTTCTCTGCCAAATGATCTGCCAATGCTTGAGCTTTCATTGCGGTCCGCGTTATATAGATAATGTCAAACTCTGCGAGCAATATTTGCCATTTCGCAAGCCTGCCTATGGGCATGGGCTTTTGAAAAGTATATTTCAACGGATCCATACGAGAGATGAGATAAGTAGTGTAAGATGAAAGATAACGTTTCAACTTTTGTGCTACCCAAGTTAGGGCACAACACGTTCTTTCAAGAAGGGTGTGCTTTGCTTCGTAAACGGTAAAATTCTTGCTAAGGTAATAAATGGCCCGCTCTTTCTTCCTAGTGTCGTCATGCTGACCCAGTACACAACCAAAAGAACTATCCAGTACTGACATATACAATATCAAAGGTCTTCCCGGCTCGGGAGGAACCAACACAGGGGGATTTGATAGGTAATTCTTAATTTTTTCAAAGCTTCTCGACATTCTTCGGTCCACTCGACTGTGGCATTCTTTTTCATCAACTTAAAGATAGGATCACAAGTTGTTGTGAGTTGAGCAATGAATCTGTTGATTTAGTTTAGCCTTCCTAGAAGGCTCACAACCTCAGTTTTGTTCTTTGGAGGTGGCGATTCTTGAATTGCTTTTATTTTTGAAGGATCCAACTCGATACCTCTTCGACTGACTATAAACCCCAAAATCTTCCCCGATGGTACTCCAAATAAACATTTTGCAGGATTAAGCTTGAGATTATACCTTCGGAGCCTTTCGAAGAATCTCCTTAAGTCTTTCACATGATCTAACTGTTTTTTAGATTTGATGATAACATCATCCACATAAACTTCAATTTCTCTATGCATCATATTGTGAAAAATGGTTGTCATTGCTCTCATATAAATTGCCCCTGAAATTTTTATTCCAAAAGGCATAACACGATAACATATATACCCCAAGGAGTGATAAAATATGTTTCTTTTGCATCTTCATCATCCATTATAATCTGATGGTAGCCCTCATAATAATCCACAAAAGATGCAACCTCATGTTTAGCACAATGATCCAATAAAATATGGATGTTAGGAAAAGGAAATCATCTTTTGGACTTGCCTTATTCAAATCACGATAATCAACACACATTCAAACTTTGCCGTCTTTCTTAGGGACATGTACGATATTGGCTAACCAAGAAGGATATTGAGCGACTTTAATGACTTTGGCCTCAAGTTGTTTTGTGATCTCCTCTTTAATTATTACACTCATGTCGTTTTTCAGTTTTCTCAACTTCTGCTTTATCGGAGGAAAATTAGGATCAATTGGCAACTAACAACCACGTCAGTGCTTAATCCAGGCATGTGATCATAAGATGACGCAAAAACATCTTTGTAATCAAACAGGGCCTGGATTATATCGTCCTTTTGATGTCGAACATGTACACTTATCTTAGTCTCCTTAATAATGTCCTAATCACCCAAATTTATCGTCTCAGTTTCACTCATATTTGGATTTGACTTATTTTCAAAATGATTGAAATCCCTCATTACTTCTTCAAATACTCTGTCTTCATCATATTCGATTTCTCGACTTATTATTTCAATATTAGGTCGAAGATAAGATTGGATATTAAGATCTGGCAAAAAATTTTGCATGCACGTCATATCACTAGAATCGGCATAGAAAGAACTGTATAAAAGAAAATGAACAAATATATTAGACTCAAATAAAGATGCAATTACATCCTATTTAAAAGGGAAATAGAATGTTTGAAATAAAACGACAAGATAAAATCCGAATTACAATCCTTGAATGAATCGGACGACAGAAGAAAAAACAAGACAGACTACCAAGACTCGTCTCTAACGGGAGAGGGGTGGCCTCCCAGTTGTTTAGATTGACATCAGGACCAATGAATTGCACATCTCTGTCGCTAGTGCCTTTTCTGAGTTCCACCATATCAACCTCGACAAATAAATCTTGAAAATAGTTGATCATTTCTTCGCTAACTTTCATCACTGGCTCTGGAAAAGATGATTGATAAGATTCTGTTGCGCGGGCTTTGATGAAAGATTTGTAGATTGGTCGTATAGGCTTGGTAAGTGACCATATATCTCTCTTCTGCTTCTTTGCCTTCATTTTGTCCTCGACTCTAGGTTGGTAACCTAAGACAAAAGTACCGATGCTCTTTCGTAGACTCACAGGATAAGCTCTTCCTTGCAAGCAGATTCCTAAGACTTTACCCGGCTCAAACCCATGTTTTAGCAATTCATTCACCACCATTACAGACGCGATGGGTATATTTGATTTTGAAATGACACTCCCTTCGGGGACATGCTCAATAACCACTACCTCAAAAACTTGATAAACTAGTTCCTCATTCTCATTATCCGCCTTGAAAAAAGGGGAGGAAGAGTCTTGGTAGATTGACAAATCCCCCTCACCATGAACAATCACCTCTTCTCGGTCGTATTCAAACTTAATTATTTGATGCAACGTTAAGGGGACTGCTCCAGCCCTATGCACCCATGGCCTCCCCAACAATAGATTGTAGGACGTGTTGGTATCCAACACTTAAAAATACATAGCGAAATCCACAGGCCCTATGGTTAGTACGAGCTCTATCTCATGAATGACATCTGTTTTTGACCCATTAAAAGCTCTAACACATACATTGTTGTGTCGGACCCTTTCAGCACTAACATTCAATTTCTGTAGAGTTGATAAAGGGCAAATATTTGCTCCAGATCCTCCATCAATTAGAACTCGAGTGACATATGAAATCTCACACTTTACAGTGATATGTAGGCTTTGGTTATGTCCTAACCTTTTTTGGGCAGTTCATCATCTGAAAAGGTGATGCAGTTTACCTCAAATATTCTCCCAGCAATCTTCTCTAACTGACTCACTGTAACTTTACTAGGAACATGTGCTTCATTCAAAATTTTCATTACAGCCTTACGATGTTCATCAGAATGTATTAGCAAAGACAACAAAGAGATTTGGGTTGGAGTTTTTCTTAATTGTTCCACCACGGAGTAGTCTGATAGTTTCATCTTCCATATGAATTCCTCTGCCTCTCCTTCAGTGACCGGACTATTTATTTGTATTTGGTCATTTTTAGTTTTCCTTAATTCCATCGGGACATAATATCTTCCTGAACATGTTATTCCTCCCACTTCATCTATTTCTTCAGCAACTTCTTTTCCCTTGTATGTCACAACAGTAGGTTCATAATTCCAGGAAACAGCTTTGGGGTTAGTAGTTGGGAGGTGGGATACTGGCCTGATAATCACAGGAGAAATATGGTCCCCTTGCACAATTAAGATAGGTTTGTTTGGCCTTTTTGGAACAAACGATATTGCCTTACTCGGACTTGCCCAAACATCTTCAAGGGCTCTTTTCACAATTAAGATGGGTGTGTTTGATGGACTCAACTTTTCTAACACACTTTCCGCCCCTAAAGGCATCATTTTTGTTAAATCAACAACATTTGCTGACTTCTCAATGCCAGTTCCAACCCTAAGGATTGGCTTATACGGAGATGCAAACTCTTCATGACCCTTCATCATTTCTAGCATGTTTGTTTCAGTATGCCTCTGCAATGGATTTTGATTGATGTTGGGTCCACTCGGATTTTCAACTATAATTCGATTAGAATCGATCAAATCTTGAATGGCCCTTTTCAAATACTAACATCTCTCTATGTTGTGCCCTGGGGCATTAGAACAATATGCTCAATGTTGAGAATAATCCAAATTTCTCGGGGGAGGATTCGACATCTTTCTCTCTATAAGACTCAAAACATTCAACTTCCTTAATTTTTGGAACAAGCTAGAATACGACTCCCCAATAGGAGTGAACTCATCTTTAACGCCATTTCCCTTTTTGTATTGTGGTCTAGGATGGAAAGGAATTCTAGCAGTATTTTGATGAACTTGTGGGGGCGGTGGATGATTTTGTGGAGTTGGTGCATGCCATTGTGGATAAGAAGGGGGTGCAAATGGTTGTGCATTAAAAACATGATATGGAGTGTATGGGACAGAATAATGTGGAGCTTGGGAAGGAAAATATTCTTGTGAGGAATTACCTTGGACATGAGTCCTAGGCGCTGATACAATAGCGGCCACATCCTCCCTTCTCTTCTTCCCTCCAATATTTCCAGAACCATTTTGAAGCACTTGTGTTGTGGATTTTACGTCATCTTGACTTACAATCTTTCCAGACTTTATGCCATTTTCCACCATTTCCCCTACCTTAATAACTTCAGCGAATGTCTTCCCTACAGAAGAAAGCAGATAGTGAAAGTAATTAGGTTCTTGCGACTGGAGAAAAACGTCAATCATCTCGGACTCCTTCATCGGTGGTTTAACCCTAGCAGCTTGTTCCCTCCATCTGATAGCATATTCACGAAAATTTTCCATGGTCTTTTTTCTCATGTTGGCTAATGAGGAGCGATCTGGAACAATGTCAATATTATATTGGAATTGTTGTACAAAACATCGAGCCAAATCATCCCATGTGTGCCAGTTGGTGATATCCTGATCTATGAACCATTCAGATGCAATCCCTACTAAGCTTTCCCCAAAATAGGTCATAAGTAACTCTTCTTTGCCCTCTGCACCCCTCAATTGGTTGCAATATCTCTTTAGATGAGCTATGGGTTCTCCGTGACCATCGTATTTTTCAAACTTTGGAGTTTTAAAACCAGCAGGCAAATGGACATGAGGAAACATACACAAGTCACTGAACGAGATGCCTTTGTGGCCTCCTAGTCCTTGCATATCTCTTATACTCTGTTCCAAACACTTCATTTTCTTAGTCATTTCTTCATGTTCCTCATTTTTGACCATCTTCTCAATTTCGACAGGGGAGCTATATTGATGAATGTGGGGATGAGAGCTTGAAATTTTAATGGCCTCTTCAAGAGTGTAACTCTGATCACGCCGAATTTTAGGCGGAGGATCGCTGTTGGATGTGGGCACCATCGTTGGCTGCAGAATGTTGTTAGTCGGGGCAGTTGACAGAAAGAGTGGATTACTTATCACAGGCGTATTCGAAGGGCGTACCATATAAGTTCCAGCGACATTGAATGTGTTAGCATAGGGGCTGAATCCAGGGGGATATATCGGATCGCTTGTCGACACCTGGATAGGATGAGACATATCTTTATTAAAATAGTCTCTGATTGAAGACGATGGAGGTTTTCGACTCATCCAAGCCTAGTACATCTCTGCCATTTGTTGTCTTAACACCCTTATCTCTTCTGTTGTCCCTGTTTCTTGTGAAGTCATCTGGTTTTAGATCTCCTCATCATTGTCCGATTCATTTCCGTCTTTGGGGGCCATTTTTTGTTTCCCTTTCGATTTTGTGTTGTAAGGATGTGATGTTAGTTTAACCACAAACCAACCACCTTTAAGCTAGTATGTCTCTCTTTATTTCTCGCTCTTTCTCTCTCTCTCTCTCTGTCTCTATCTTTATCTCTTATCTCCCTTTCCATATGGATTCATATTTTCCTATATTATGATAGTGACAAACTAGGCTTAATAAAATATATATTTTTAATAAGAATAACGGAAAAATCATACACAAAAAATGTGATTTTTTTAATTATTTTTTTATATAATAAAATATTTTTTAAAAAAAAGAATAACGTAAAAGTCATACACACAAAAAAAAGTCTTTATTATTAATTTTTTTAAATAAAATAATCATAATAATACACACACAAAAAAAAGCATTTTTCTAATTTATTTATTTTAAAAAATAGTTATTAAAGGAAAAATGAGAATATATATATATATATATATATATATATATATATAATATATATTAATAGCCCTTAAAATTTTTCCTAGAACTAAACATATTAGTATATTCGATTGTATTATATTTTTTGTTGATTAAATTTTCAATATCTTTTTTATATATAAAAAACATTGATGGTAATGATAGATTTTTCTATTTGTAAAAGAAATATGAATTTTGATAGAAAAAATTGTGTTTATTAAAAGGATTACATCAAAACTTTAATTTGATATTTTTCGTTATAATTAATTTTTCATTATAATTCATTCATCTAAGGCCGATCAACATTTGTATGGTCTTCCCAATAATGCAACAAATAACACAAATAATGTACATGATAGTCTTAAGTAGGGATACTTCTCCTAGACAGGCTCGACCCTTGTGTCGAGCTCCCCATTAATTCAACATTATGCATGATGCAGATAAATCGAATCCTATTAGGGATAGTCATTGCTGAGGCTTATTTTACTACGTAAACAATCTAATAAGGAAGGTGTCTAGACTGACCATAAAACGAGCAGACTACTCGAGTCGAGAAGGGACAGCTTACCAGTAGCAGGGCTTTCTTGCCTCACTGTTGGTCCTTCCCATCCTAAGACATGTGTTACTATAGAATCCTTTCCAGGAGCGTTGCCGCATCTATGGCATCTCATGGCTCGGGAGCGTAATCGCATCTCCGAATAAAGTATCTCAGAAGACTCAAATGGATGCGCGAGGAAAGATAGTTATATGATAGTTAACATATTATCAAAAAGGGTAAATAAGCAAGCAAATAACATATTATGCAATTAAACACAATATTCACAAATCGATAAATACTTAAATACATAATAAAGTCATGTAGAAGTCCATGTTTACAAGCTCGAATTCTAGTTATTCCCTAGCGGAGTCGCCAGAGATATCACACCCCTTTTCCGCGCAGCGGCGTAAGGGTTTTTCTAATTTAAGTGACGTTATTAATTAGGGGATTATTTTAATATTTTCAGAGTCGCCACTTGGAATTGGGTTACGGTGTTCCAAGTCACTTTTTTTTTGTTTAATCCCTAATAAAAAGGAAATGACTCTTTATTTGGTCTGCGAACCAGTTCGGGTAAGGAATTCAATTGACCGAGGGGAAGGTATTAGGCATCCCTCGAGTCCCGTGGTTCTAGCACGGTCACTTTATGTAGTTTTATGACTTAAACTAATTTTTGAATATTATATTATTAAGACTAATGTATTTGCCCTCATTCTTTGATTTATATTAACATATTTAAAACTGCACTATTTTATAAACATGTGAAGTTTTTACACATTTTTATTAATTGTTTATTTATTTTTCATGCTTTCAACATATGTCTGCTTCTTAATTTCTCTCTTTTATTTCTTTTTATACTAATCTTTCACGTTTTTTTCTTGTTTAACTTTGCATATGTGTTTTTGTTTACATTGATTTTCTTCTTTTTCTTTTCTTACCCTTTTTAATAGTTTTGTTTTTTTAATGATAATAATAAAATATTTTATATAATTTTTACACTATACTTTTTGTATCTTTTCATTTTTAAAGTTTTTTTTTCTTACTTTTTCCTGTACATTTTTTACATTCTTTTTATTATATATATATTTTTTATTTTATTATTCTTTTTCTAATTCGAACGTTTCTTCTTCACTAGTTTTCTTTTCTTTTCTTATTTTTTCCCATCTTTCTCTTTTTGGTCATCAATATATATATGTAGGTAGGTAATGTTTACATTGTTTTTGTTTTATTTTTCATTTCTTATTATTTGAAAGAAAAAATAGTAAGCATATTATAACAATTCAATAATTATTTTTTCAATATAATATTCAATAGTCTTCTTTAAATGATTATTAACATTAGCATTAAATAAATTGCAAATCAACTCTATCTCACAAATTTTCTCATTCAATATTATCATAAACTATTTTACTAATCTAGTATATTTAGGCACAAACAAAGAGATTAGATTTTAAACAATTAAATTGGTATACACAATAAAGTATGCATACTAAAAATTATAAGGGGAAATATATAAACAAATAAATAAATATGAGGCGTATTGTCGGAATTAACTTTACAGATTATATGGAACATACAATCATTTGAATAATTTTTCTCATGCTTCAATTTAACAAATATAAAAAAAATAAGTTTTTTTTAAAAAAATAAATATTAATTACTATGATTAAATAGGAGCAAGAACGATTTCACCATATACTAGCCATAACGATTAAAATACGATACTATACATAATTTGTTCTAATTTTAACAATATACACATATTTACCGTATTTCAATATTAGAATGAAAAGTTTGAACCAACCTAGAACTTGATTAAATTCATAACATGAAAAATAAATACCACATAATCATGAATATAATATTATAAATGAATATTGAATAATACCTTTTGTGAAAATCAAATTCAAGGAAGTGATATAATCCTAACAAGGAACCACGAACTTGAAACCACGAAAGTGAACCTCAAAACTCAACCTTTGTTTGTGATTTTTTAAAAAAGTAAAAAGATGAGAATAATATTTTCTACTTTGTGTTGCCTTCCTTTTTCTTGATTTCTCCTCCCTCTTCCTTCTTTTTTTTTACCTTTCTGATGTTTTTTTTCCGTCCCCTCTTTTTTTTCTCGTATGTTTTTGTAATATAATAGTGCAGGTGTGCAATGTGTGTGCATGTCGTTGGTGGGAGTTGGATACAGTGGGGGTAATGGGAATCGTGGGTTTGTGTGTGTGTGTGTGTTTTTTTTAAATATTAAATATATAAATATATAAATATAAATATATATATATATATATATATATATATATATATATATTATTATTATTATTATTATTATTATTATTATTAGCAATCAAAATACACTTATCTAACAAAAATTGTATTTATGTTGTTTATTCTTATATCTGTTAAATAAACTTAATGACAATAATAAAAAAGTCAAAAATATATTTAATTTAGATTGATAAAATCATTTATGCTCTAAAAATTGGTATTAAACTTTTAAATTCAGTCAAAATTACGTGTCTACACCAAAGAGACACACTTATACTATACTAAGGTCCTATTACCCCCTGAACTTATTTTATTAATAATTTTTTACCCCTTTTTAGCCTATGTGGCACTATCTTGTGGGACGAATGATGATTGACTTTTTTTTAAACTAGTGCCACGTAGGCTAAAAAGGGGTTGAAAATTACTTATAAAATAAGTTCAGGGGGGTAATAGGACCTTAGTATAGTATAAGTGTGTCTCTTGGATTTCGGACATAGATTGAGGGGGTACTTGTGCATTTCTCTAAATTATGAGATAATGTATATTTTGGGAGTAGTATTGGCACCGATATGGGGATGAGAGTTCATATTAACTTAAGTCTCCATGAAAACTATGTAGCCATCATAGGTATTGACGGGTCATACTTTTTAGATGATCATGTAAGTTCAACTAGTGGGTCCACTAAGTTAAGTACTTCTATGAAACATCAAAGCATAAGACAGTTCTAGCAGCGTGAGCAAGACAATGTATCACCACTTAGGCTCATAGTGTTAGTTGTCGGTCAGAAAATCTCCCGTGGAAACTATATTACTTTATAAATAAGTTAAGTAAGTTGAGTTTGTTCTTATATTTTCTTTAACAAACTAAGTGTTAACATCGTTTTACAAGATTTTATATAATGAATGTATCTTATTGTTTTGTATTTAGTTAAGTTATTCATGAGTTGAGCAAAGTCAAGGTAAGTGTTTTTTTACTCTTTTCAAGCTTAATTTTTATTATCATTCTAACTCGTATACTCGTCATTAAATGTACTTATGGTAGTTGTCCTGCATCGTATCATGATGCAGTTGCATGTACGCAGGATTAGCATCACCAGCGTCTCATTGATCCAACTAAGAACTCGAAGTCAGTGGTGAGCCTCCTTGAATTCTGGAGGACACATATTTACTATTTTTCAGTCTTTTCTTTTATAGGATGTGGTAGGGTCTGTCCCAACATTCATCTCAGTATTATAGAGGCTTCATAGACAATCATATAATTTACTTTTGAGTCTGTTCTTTATATTGCAAATGTTTAGCTATGAGACTTAAGTGTCATTTTGGAAACTATACTTATTTTAAGTTATTTTTATGAGAATTTTTCTTTATTGAGTTAACTCCTTCATTAAATTAAGCAAGTCAAACCAAGGATCCACTCAAGGCCAACAATGATCATTGGGTGCCGGCCACATCCAAGGTGTAGGCTTGCGGCATGAAAAACTTGGTATAAGAACACAGATTTCAAGAGTCATAGAAGTCTATAAAGTCGTTTCTGTAGAGTCCTACTTATCAGTATGAAACGCGCCACATCTAT